CTCTTGATCCTACAATGGCGGCACAGGTGCGTGAACCACGTCTTTTGCTGCTGTCTAAAGGGAGGAGGCCAAGGAAGGTTAAACGTGGCTATACTTGGCTTTCTACGAGCTACCCCGAGTTGGTGAAGCGCAACGTTCAGGCGGGACTGCATAGGTACAAGAAGCCATCACAGGTGGCAAGACACAGGGGAGTTCAATGCCTAGCCGGTGCCTTTGCAGTTCCGAAAGATGATTTGGAAGACAGGGTTATTACAGATCCTAGCGTCAACCAGTTACTTGATCCTGATGCTTTACCTAGACCAAAATTTGCATATATTCCCAGTTTACGGTCAGTTACAGTTCCGAAGAGTGGCTTGGTGGTTGTTTCCAAACGAGATGCAAGACATTATTTTCATCGCTTGCAGATTGGGAAGAAATGGCAGAAATGGCTCTGTGGTCCTCCGATCACCATCCCTGGTAGGCGTGGGGACCCCAGAACAGTGCATCCATCTTCCAGGGCCACACCGATGGGATTTGGACCTTCAGCGGGTTGGGCAAGCCTTAACTGACCTTATTGCCAGGGACGCCAATCTCCCCCCTGAAAAACGGTTGTATCCGGGTGAAGTTTCCCCCGAAAGTTTGCTGGTCTGGGGTTCGATCATTGATGATGTTTGGGCTTTAGATCATGTGGATGATGGTGGGGAACTTCCTGTAGGACCGGTTTGGCTTGATAGGGCGTCGGATGCATGGGTTAAGCGTGGAGTACAACCTCATGAGAAGAAGTCGGTCAATGCAGCGGCAGGGGAGGAGATACAGGGTTATTATGTTCATCCAGAAGACCACTGGATCGGGGTTTCAATGGAAAAGCGACGGCATCTTTATCAAGCTACATTCCAGGTTCTGTTGAAGAAGGAGGTCCATTTTAAGGTAGTTGAACGGCTCGTGGGAAAGCATGGTTTTGTTCATTCAGCGCGGGCTTGCATGAGGTCAATTTTTGAAGATACTTTTGGCTGGTTGGATTCACAGAGGAGGTTGAGGCCGGGCTTGGTTGAACTTCCAGCGAGAGTTTGGACCGAGCTTTTGGTATCTGCTTTGTTGATCCCTTTCGCGCAGTTTGACATTTCCTCACCCTGGAACAGTCGTGTGGAAGCTACTGATGCCTCAATGACAGGCCTTGGAAGAGCTTTTGCGGTGATGCCGCAGCACATCGTCAGGACCTTAGCCCGGTATTGTTCAGCTCAGGGGACTTACACCAATTTGTCTCTACCTTGGGGTATTGGGCTTGACAAGGCTGGCAAGTGTCCTTTTTACAAAGTTAGATTGCCCGTGAAGATGGTCAAGTGGAAGTTGTTGGGCACCCCATGGAAACCTACACACATCACAGTTGGTGAGGGCGATGCAGTGGTCTGGGCTAGTCATGACCGGCTGCGGAGGCCGGGGGATGATGGCAACCGCTTCATTCATCCTGTTGACAGTGCAGCTATGCTGGGGGCCCTGGTCAAAGGGCGGTCGTCTTCAAAGCAAATCAATGGCAGATGCAGGAAGGTAGCAGCTGTCAATCTTTGTGGTGGTCATGAACCGTTTTACATGTGGGTTCCCTCAGCCGATAATCCTGCTGATGCCCCGTCACGCATGTTTGAGGCTGAGACGTCTGAAGATGCGAAGGGCCGGGTAGCTGATGCACAGCCGGAATCACGGCATGCGGAGGTCGACTTGCGATCTCTCTCAATGTGGCCTCAGGATGCCTTGTTTTTTATTCATTTGTGCAGTGGTCCTAGGAGAACCGGTGATGTTATTTGGCACATTGAACATGAGGGTGCATTGGCAGGTTTCAATATTTTCGGCGTTGCAGTGGATCCATTAGCGGGGACGGACAGTGATTTCCATGATGTTGATGTGATTCAATATGGTAATTTATTGGACGCAAAAGTTGGTAATTTTTTGTTGGGTTTGATTGCATCTGACAGAGTCATTGGTGGGTTTGGGTCACCTCCGTGCTCCACTATTTCGGCGGCTAGACACATGCCGTTGAGAGACCGGATGGGACCTCGGCCTTTGCGGTCGCGGGACAGTCCCTGGGAGCCTTTGGAGTATTGCTCCAAAAAGGAAGTGGCCTCAGTGATGTTGGGCAGCACGTTGTTTTTGCTTTGTTTGGGTTTGTTGGGTGAAGTCCGAAGGAGAGGTGGTTGGTTTGGCCTGGAACATCCGGCTGATCGTGGCCCCCCATATCCATCATTTTTCAATACACCCGAGGTAGAGTCCTTCAAAGTGTTTACACGGGCTGTTTATTTGGTTACCCACCAATGCATGTTTGGCGCACCCACAAAGAAACCAACGGGGTTATTGGTTCCAGATCATGGCCGTGGCTTGGCACTTCGATGTCGACATGCGCGTAGACATCCTCAACTCAAAGGTTTGGATTCCAGTGGCAAGTTTCTTACAACACCAGCAGCTCATTATCCCAGCAATTTTTGTCAGGCGTTGGCAAGTAGTTGTATTGACAAGTTGGTGATTGCGCAAAGCAGAGCTTATCGCATGCCATTCGCACCTTTGAAGTTGAACAGTCATTCCATTAGTTCAGATCCATGGGGTAGTGGGCAGCATGTCACATGGAACTGGCCTCAACCGAGTCCAGCGTTTCTTGTTGAGCACATTGCGTCCTACAACAATAGCCAAGTATATTGCAGCCTTGCAACACCTCAACAGTGATTTGGCTGATTTGGGGAGAAGTTGGCATGACATGGATGAAAGCCAGCAAGATAGTTTTCTGGCGGAGTGGGTGCTGGACGGGTTTGAGCGGGGAGGATCCAAGAATGAATATTCTTGGGCTCTGTCAGCTCTCCAAAAGGTTCATCCACGATTGCGTTTAAAAACTGCATGGAAGGTTTTGGATGCATGGACATCGCTATCCCCAGTCCGTCAAGCTCCAGCGGCACCTCCTGAATTACTCCATGCTATGATAGTCCTGGCACTTATTTTAGGTAGGCCGCAGTTGAGTCTGGCAATGCTTTTGGCCTACTGTGGTTTGCTGCGAGTTCGTGAGGTATTATGCCTTAGGGTTGGCGATGTTATCCTGGGGCCCAATACTCTGGTTTTGTGCTTGGGGCGGACTAAGCGTGGCATGGAGCAGAAGGTGGTGTTGACAAATCCGTCAGTGATACAATGGTTTGCAAATTACATCTCACGGTTCCCTTTGAAAGATTCCCATGACTTGCTGTTTGATATTTCCTATGGGAGCATGCTACGGTGGGTCAAGCGTTTGGCTTTCCTTTTGGGTGCTGAGAGTTTGCATTTAACAACGCATACATTCCGTAGATCGGGTGCATCTGAACTATCCAGACAAGGCATGAGTTTGAATGATATCCTTTTGTACGGCAGGTGGCTCAGCGAAAGGGCTGCACGTGATTACATCCGCAAGGGTGAAGTTGCTATTTGGCGTGCAAGGGGTTTACTGTCTGATGATGACTGGGGTCGTATAGTATCCTGGGGTCAGTTGGCATTCCATGCTTGGTCGGTGTTTGATGGTGCGTTGGCAATCAATGTTAAGTCACAACATATGCATGCAGTGACCATGGCTAGACTTTCAGCGCTTGAGGCGTCTTTGTTTACTTTAGTCATGAAAAACACCTGACGGTATGAAGGGGTGTTTGGAAAAGATCAGTGATTAATCATTGATCAGCGCGCTGCAGTGATGGATAGCACAACAAAAATTGTTGGCTATCAGTCTGCCCAGCTTGTTACATACAACTTCCTTTTGGTCAAAACATTTGCTTTGACAGCGTGTTCCCGGCAGGGTCTCAGTGAGTGACATTTTGAAGACACACAATTGGGACTTTTCCATGAAATGCCTTGTTTGTGTGATGAGGTTGTCATGAACGATTTGCAAATTCAACCGTTTTGGATTTTTCATTGCTCCCAAGCTGCGCCCCACCCGTCCCGCAATGGGATTTTTTGGTGGGAAAAGATCAGTGATTAATCATTGATCAGCGCGCTGCAGTGATGGATAGCACAACAAAAATTGTTGGCTATCAGTCTGCCCAGCTTGTTACATACAACTTCCTTTTGGTCAAAACATTTGCTTTGACAGCGTGTTCCCGGCAGGGTCTCAGTGAGTGACATTTTGAAGACACACAAATATATATATATATACATAGTATATGTACGTATATTACTATATATATGGCGTATATATATATATATATATAGATACATATATGGCGTATATATATATAATATTACAATATATATACGCCATATATTATATATATATATATATTATATGGGCCTCCACCAGTTGTGTGTGTATGGGTCAGACTTGGGTACCTCAAGATTAAAATGGGATGGTTTGCACGTTTGACCCATAGCAACATGGAGTTACAAATGCAAGTAAGAAGGGGTAGTTATCGGTTGAATGGAGTGCTAATGTCACATGTAACGTCAGTTATGACTGGTGTTCATGATTGTAAGCGGAATGGAAGTGAGGCGTATTTATGAACATATATTAGCATATATGAGCTATAGACGACCAAAAGAATGCGAACAAGTATGCAGGATATTTTTCAATCTTTGACCATCACTTTCTATTCCACCATAAAACGATACGCTCCGTTTTTTTCTCCATATTTTTTTGATATAGCCATGGTATAGATGGCCCATAGATGGTTTACCTGTTCAAAACATTTCAATACGGTGAAATTTTGATAGTTGGGTTAGATTACCTGAGGATATCTATGACCAAATGCAGGGTTCCACAACCAGGCTCATTGTACCCTCTGGTAAACATACAAAAAACTATGGAAAATCACAATTTTTAATGGAAAAACTCACTATAAATGGCCATAAATCACCATTTTTAATGGGAAAACTCACTATAAATGGCCATAAATCACAATTTTTAATGGGAAAACTCACTATAAATGGCCATAAATCACCATTTTTAATGGGAAAACTCACTATTTCTATGGCCATTTTCAATAGCTATGTTAGTCATAACCAGAGGGTAAGTTCACTACACTTCGCAGGTGCAGATCGTGCGGTGGTCGACGCCTGTCGTCAGCAAGTCCGAGAGTGGCTTGAGCCGCGCGCGCAGCAGAGGGGCAAGAGTAGTTGTTGGCTCACCCCAGCTAGTAAGTGGGTTATAACTAGTTATAACTTATAAGTGGGTTAAAGTGGGTTATAACTTATAACTGGATATAACTGGACTAACCATACCTACTCATCCTACTCCACTTACTGGGCTGAAAGGACACATGAAATCCGATTCCGATTCGGCCACCAAGCACGCAAGATCTGACCATTACCTTGGGAAATGTCCAGGTCGCCCAGCAACACACCGTTGGAGATTCCAATGGAGAACGCCTTTCAGAGTCTTGGCAAAGAACGTCGAGGTTTCCGTAGACGATGTTAAGAACGTCGATGTTCTACAGTTCTCACCACACATCACCCTTTTTGATTATGTTTAGTCATGGTTGGTTTACTCATCTAACCTTCTCCCATCAATAGGTTTTTGATCATGCTTGGTAGATGATCACGATCCAACTTCCAATCTTTGACCATACATTTCGCAATATCAGCAAGTTTTTTTGATCAAACTGCACATTAAAAACAGAAACAACCAACGATCCAACGGACAACGGGTCACGGTGCACCGCTGCTCAACTGATCAACTAAGGCGTCTGTTGATGCATACCATCATTGCCCAGGCGAGGTAAAACTTGCAAGGCTTGCTGGATCTGGAGAATGGTGGCTCACAATCTAGACCTGGTTGGTGGTTTGGAACATGGCTTTTATTTTCCATAATATATGGGATAATCCTTCCCATTGACTAATATTTTTCAGAGGGGTTGAAACCACCAATCAGGAATCATAGACAATCATAGATGCCCTTTGGCAAATCTGACGTGGCTAGCTGAAGAATCACAGATCAAAATTGAGGTTTATAGATTTTATAGCTGGCAACACAATCGCACTATGTCGAACTAATTACACATGGGTGATTTGCCAGCAAGCCACGTTTGATTAACGGAGGGTAAATAGACATATATGCACATATAAGTACATATACAGTATATATATATATATACACATGATATATAATGTATGTATACATATATTATATAACATGTATGTTATATTGTGAACCACCAGCCACCTGCTTTTACGCCAGCGTTGCAGGAATTTCCATCCGTCTACAGTCACTCCTCGCGTCGTGACGGGGAACGCTTTCTATGTGCCGGGGAACCTAGCGATGGCAATGGCAGTGGTGGTGCTGGTGGTGCTGGTGGTGCCAGTGGTGCTGATGGTGCTGGTGGTGGTCGACATTCTGTTTGGACAATTCGGAAACATTCCCTGTGTTTGTTTGTGGCTGCTTTTCGTGGAAAGACCCTGTGGATGTCTTTCTTGCTACAATTACGTGGCACCATTTGATAATGTTGTCCAACGGAGTGAGTTCTTACTTGGACAGACCCAGACACTCGACGCATTTTTAATAGGCAAACTGGTAATCAAACGTGGTAGTGGACATTCTCCCATCTATGAATGATTTTCCCGTTAAGATTCCAAATTAATAGGGACTTCCTTTTGCCATGTTTGATTACTGGAACGTACATGAACTGATCCAATCACCGCGCAACCGCAGCAAACCGTCAGGTCTACAAATCTCAGGCACAGCACGGCACCGTGGCGGTGGGTTTGTGGACAAATGTGGTTACAGGATTTGCAACCACTATATATATATTATAATATACATTATATTATATATATTATATTATATTATATTATATTGTATTGTATTAAATTATATTGTATTGTATTATATACTTTTATATTATATTATATTATATTATATTATAATAAATACTATATTATATATATTATATTATATTATAATATATATATATTATATTGTATTGTATTGTATTATATTATATTATATTGTATTATATATATTATTTATAATTATACTATATTATATGTATTGTATTGTATTATATTATTGTATTATATTGTATATATTATATTATATTATATTATATATTATATTATATTATATTATGATATATTATATATATATTTATTTGTATATATTATATTATATTATATTATATTATAATATATACTATATTATATATATTATATTATATTATAATATATATATATTATATTGTATTGTATTGTATTGTATTATATTGTATTGTATTATATTATATTATATATATTTTGTATATATTATATTATATTATGTTATATTATATTATATTATGATATATTATATATATATTTATTTGTATATATTATATTATATTATATTATATTTTATTATATTATATTATATTAAAAATATATTTTGTATATATTATATTATATTATGATATATTATATATATATATTTATTTGTATATATTATATTATATTATATTTTATTATATTATATTATATTTTATTATAATATATACTATATTATATATATTATATTATATTATAATATATATATATATTATTGTATTGTATTATATTGTATTGTATTATAATATATTATATTATATTATATTATATTATATTATATATATTTTGTATATATTATATTATATTTTATTATGTTATATTATATTATATTATATCATATTATATTATATTATATTATGATATATTATATATATATTTATTTGTATATATTATATAATATAATATAATATAATATAATATAATATTTTATTATTATAGAGACGATATATGTTTGGATTCGGAGACAAACATCCTAGAATTGGAGGGAAAGTCTGCCAGAAACCCTAGAACTTCTGGTCAAAATATGTTTTGACATGTTTTGTTTTCTGTGTGATTCCCCCTTGGGGCAGCCAGGTCACCCAGATTCGGACAAATCCAGGCTGAAGTTTACGAGGAACAGCTTCGGACGCTTCAGAGTGAGATGGAGGCCATCGATGAAGAGGTGCAGAATCTGGCAGGATTTTGTAGTCCCAAAGGATGGCTTTTCCGTTTTTTTTTCTGTACACGGTTTTTATCCAAAACACGTGGATTTTTTTAAAGCCCGAAAAAGATAGAAAAGTGATTTATGAGACTTTCCACTTAGGAATGGATTTAAGGCCTCTATGTTTTTTGGGTTAGTATACCAAAGAATCCAGTGATTGATCATGGTTGAATCATTTCCTTGATGAATTTTCCAGCATTCACATGTTAAATTACCGGAGGGACAACATTAACCGATGGCACAGGTTGGGGTGCGAAGTCTTACTGATGAGATCACGAAGAATCAAACGCCCTTGGTGGGACACAACTGTTTCTTGTCGTTTTCAGCGGTGGCTGATACAGTTTTCCAATGTGGAGGTTTTGCAGGTGTTTGTCTGCAGGTTTCTACCACGGTGAAAGATGGTTCAGGCAAGTTCATGATGGTTCATGCAATATATTTTGTATCTTGTTGGGTTATCTGTGTATGCAATAGTAACACCATTGTTTCCATTTTCGATTATATATATATATATAAATATATAGTAATACCACCGTTTATGTCATGTCGCAGTATTTTGCACTTTATGTAGCGGGGGCTTAGGAAAACCAATGAGTCTAGGCTCGCAGATCAACCATTTTCTACGATCACCTGACACAAGGGAGCAAAGCTTGGCTGGGGATTTTCATTTTTTTTTATTATCTTGACAAAAACTCTACACAACAATATATATATATACAGTATATCTACATTGACGTATACATTTATACATAACATTGTATGTAACACCAATTTCTGGTATCGAAGACATTCGCCATGACATGACTTGGGAATCATCCGGGTCAATTTTTCTCGCACGTGCGGCACTTCTGTCTCTTCATCTTTTTTTTTGGATGTCAACACATTTTTCCAGGGTCTACCTGCTGAGGTTTTTACGACTTCCTGCACCTCTACCAAACGTTTTATGCAGACCTTCCTGAAAGCATTCAGGACTTCAAGGTCACATCATGGGGCTCCATGTCGCGGAGATGGCAGTTGGTCAAGTTATGAGCAAGTTGAGTTTTTTCGGGGGCCATGTAAAAAATAATCCTGGGGGCCATGTGTTAAAGAAAAAAATAATCCAAAGATGATAGTAACTAGTAGTCATAACACCAAAGATCACGTTTTGGCCACTGCCACAAGCAAAAACCAGGATCATGAGAGCAAAACAAATGAAAGTGGACCCTCTAAAGATTGGATGGTCAGTCATTTGCTCAAGAAAACGGGTCCCCTCAAAAAACTATGCGATATTCCGATCCAAGCTTCCACAGAATTTCATTGATATGAATGTTGACAATACAAACAGAACACCAAGGGCACCGTTATTTCATGGTTTTAAAAAACATGGTAAAAGCTCCATGGGAAACCTATGGAGTCTTCCCCTTGGAGCCAGGCTTCTTGGCTCCAACTTTTCCCCCAGACCTTGGATACGAAGTTCTTGGCAGAGGCAACGCCAGGGATGGGATGGGTACCCTCTGGTATGACTAACATAGCTATTGAAAATGGCCCATTTATAGTGAGTTTTCCCATTAAAAATGGTGGATCTTTCCATAGTTTTTTGTATGTTTACCAGAGGGTATGGCTAATTTTTTGGGGCTTTATGACTGGGGAGGGGCCCACAGACCAAGTGAAAAGGCAATTTTTTTGGGGGGAACCACGAGGTTTTGATTTTTTTGGGGGAAGTGAGAGTTGGTTTCAGGGGAACCAACTGATTTTGGTTGGCAACCACGCACTGATTTGTTGTTTCAGAATCAGAGTTTGATGGGAATAAGCTTCATTAACCTCCCTAACGGTTTTGGGACTAGACAACGTGTTTTCACTGGATGTGTTTTTCCCCCCCCCCAAAAAAAGGGGCTTTGATTTGGGATGGACATAGCTAGGAGATGTTGAGAATTTCTCGAGTTCACATGTGGTCTTTGGTGATTCTCATAGTCGTTGCTGTTGGATGGTTTGAACGCCTCGATCAATATTTCACCAGCAGATTTTCATCATCCAAATCATGTGTGAACGGTCCCATTTCGCCACAGGATTCTGTGGTTTCCCCCTTCAACTGGCCTCCATCCCATCGTCCAGGCTCATGAGCTGTTGGTGGGTCTGCAGCCGCCAGCCAACCTGAAAGGCCTTTGTGACTTCATGGCCCAGGTGGGGGTTGCAGGACCTGATCCACAGAGGTGCTACTGGGTATGGTGCCATTGAAGATTTTTAATGGGGAAAATGAATGAAGATTGTGATCAACCACTAAATTCAGGGGATCCTTTTTTAGGCACATCAATTTGGAAGAACTATGCAGGAAACGCAGATTTTGGGGGTCAATTTTGGTCGGAAACCATTCTGCGCTTGGGGGGTGGCCCTAACAGATCTTGCATTGACGGAGTTTCCAAATGACTGGAAACTCTTACAACTCTTACTATGCATATGCTGACATACACGGACTTTGTTCTTGCCAGCAATTCAGCCATTGATTGTGCTATTGAAAAGATGGACAGCAAAAAAGGCTTTAAGGATCTTTAAGGTAGGTATCCTGCTGCCCCAGCTGTACATTCTGGAGGGATCCGTCGTGTGTCAGCTCAACCATCTCATGCTGTTTACCCCATAGCTTCACTCAGAGCCACAGCATGGGAAAGTTGGGCCGCTGGGTTGCCAGGGTTGGACTCCCGGTTGCAAACAGTTCTCAGGCTGCAACGACCGAAGATTCTCAGAAACCTTTGCCTTTGACCTTTGAGGCGGGGCTACTTTCAGGAGTTGAGTCGGATCATGTCAGATCATGGCTGAGTGGTCCATACCTCATTTTCCGCCTGTTGCGGTTGTTTCAGGCAATCAACCATGGCAATGGAACCTCCTCCATTTATACCATGATTTTCCCATGGAGACACCTCCATAGGCAATTTCCCAGCTAGCCATGTTTGTCACTGGAGGGGACTTTTCCCACCTTGGAGTTGGACCCTGCGGACGCATTGTGCCAGGTGAATAACCTGGAAGGTGTAGACTATCGACTTCCCACCAGACCTGCACAAGGTGGATGAAGTGTTGGGATGGCAGCGAGTTTCAAGGACCATGAAAATCATGAAATGGGCCACCAAAATCGGAAAGCCATGGAGATTTGATGTGCAACCAGTGGGGATTCAACCAGAGATCGGATACAATTTGGAACTTGGGCACTATGGGTCAAATATATCAACCACCAAAAACGGCTGGTTTTATACTTCAACGTAACCTGATCAATTTCTGATGGGCACACAAGTGTGACCCATACCCAAACGGAACATGACCAGCTATAGGTGAGATTATACAAAGTGTGTATATATATCATATATATATATATGATTTTCATATATATATGATCTTCATATATATATATGATATATATATACACACTGTATATGAACACAATACATATATATATATAGATATATAATATATACTGTATATATAATATATCATATTACAAGACACCCTCGGATGGAAGGTTTGGTTTCCCAAGATTCTTCGAAGCACATTGGCAGCATCTGGGACCGGAGTCTGCACGGTTTCGGGCCAGGCACAACTTCCGAGGATGAGATGGATTCGTCACACGAGGCTCGCGTCGCATCTTTGAATTACGGATTCAGCTCCGCCACGGTTTCGGGTGGAGGTTGGGTACCTGCATATTTATCGGACATCGATTTGTTTCGGCTTTTTGGCATGGTTTTGGGAGTTCCCCTACCCCGATTGGCGAAGTGATTGATCCGTATTGATCCCCCGATTGGCATAGCCTTTATTGTGTGATGGACCACCCAAAGAATTAGGTGATTCAGCCCTTCAAAACTGCATAAGATGATTGACTTTCCAAATATCTCCAAACATCATATTTACATCACATATATATATACATATATATATTATATTATATATATATTATATATTATATATATTATATTATATATATATTATATATATATAAATTATATATATTATATATATATATTATATGTATATATATAATATATACTAGAGATATTCACCAAGAAAAAATACTATGGATAATTACAATATATCATGATTAACTCACCTAACTTCGTTCGTTGTGAAAAAAGGCCGGCTACGACGCCTTGATGACCTCCATGGTCCTCATCCATCAGCTCTCCCATATCTTGGGGAAGAAACGCATCCCATGGAGTCAGGCCGCGCGCGAAAAAGCAGCAACGTAGAGACCATATGGAGACCTTTAATGGAGACCTAATATGGATACGATATGATACGATTATTAGAATATACGATTCAACATGATAAACATGATACCACATTTGAAGAACTTGAGATCAGATGATATCATATTTTCTGCCACAAGACAAGCGATTTTTTCCAAGCGCCTTTTTTGGGACCATCCCATCCCTTCGCCCAGTTGGACTTTGGTCCTCTACGGAAGCGCCCTGCCAACGATGCGCGGCGTTCCCTCACAGAGATGTTGCCTTTGAGCGTGAACCGTCAGGGGAACCCAGTGTGGCTGTGGAAGGGTTCTTTTGATCCCCCAAATAGGGGGATTTATGGAAGTTCATAAGCCCCAAATATGATGAGTCATAGGTTTTGACACATCTGCAATCTGCACATGGGACCATTTTTTTCTCACCTTGAAAAGATCTCCCAGGGTCCCATATAGCAATACATAACCAGTATAGGCAGTGGTACTCCTATCAGGCAACCATGTTATACCTTAGTTATATGATATATGCGTTATCAGTTTTTTGGTTGTATCCTATAAGTTCCCATGTATTTCTTGGGAATGTTTATATTATCAGTTCCATATATTTCCTATTAACAACTTCCATATTTCTCGGGAATATACATATATATATATACCCTCTGGTTATTTAACATAGCCATGGAACATGGCCCATTTATAGATGGTTTACCTATTAATAGCATGGTGGATCTTTCCATGGCTATGTTAGTCATAACCAGATGGTATATATTTCCTATCAATAAGTGTTATAATCATATGATCCTCTTATTGAATAACGCCTCCCTCGGCGAAGCGTGGCGCCAGGGATCCGCTTGGTGAAGGCTCAACCCAATGTCATCAACCTGAGTGGTCGCGATGAGGCGACGGGGACGGGGACAGAGATTTTTGGGGAGATTTTCTGGGATATCATGGAGATATTTAGTGGATTTTAGTGGGATATTGCTGGGTATGGTTGGTAATAGATGTGTAAAAAGTTGATCGACCATGGTTGAAAAACATGTTTATGATTATCAAAGCCAATAGATAAAAACCATCATATGTTGTTTAAACATGGATGCACACAACACTCTTTGCTACGAATTTTGTGACTGGTTGTTTTCGTGGAGAAACATGTTGAAACATTTGAAGCTCGGATCCGATCTGGGATCATTTCACGATTGCGGCACTTCAGGCAGCTGGTTGCCATTTTCAAGGCTCCCCATCGGATGTCACGCTGCGAGGCTGATATGAGCCGACATTTCTTGATGTCTGGATACCCACCCAGCTGGAAAAAGTGGGACTTGATGAAGGCACCTGAGATGATGCTCTGAGGGGGATGGAGCCCCCCAAGTCTTGAAAGACCTGGAGGGAATGGATAAATGTCACCAGGGAATGTCTGCAAATGTTCATTTTAGGCATATTTTAGACATCACCTGGTGATATAGCCCTCATTTTCATGGTCATTTTGATAGGCCGAATATGATAACGAACCAGATTGAATCATTGGAATGGAGGGTAACGGGTAACCCATTGGCCACAGTGACGATCGACTCATGATCCGCAGGTGTGGTCCCCGCTGTGGGTGGGACTGTCCTACATCGATGACAGCTCTTGTTGGGTTATTGCAAGGTGCCATTCAGTGCTTGAAAAGTGGCTTGGGATGGGAAAGTCGTTTCTAAAGCTGTCAAGAATCTGAGTAGTTTGAGATATGTTGAGATGAACAAGTCCGATTTCATGAGGAAAGCTGGATTTTCCACTTCTACTCAGAGGGCATAGCAAATCTGTTTGCAGATCATCTTGGTGGATCATCACCGGGTCGAAGATATGCCTGACCAGATATCTTGTCACATATGTCTGAAAGTAGGGTACCACAAAATCCAATTGTTATCATCATATTCCCCATTGAAACGGCCAAATGTTGGGGGTTCCCCATTTTTTTTGGGCACCGAACCCCCCTATTTAATATGTGTATCCCAGAACTATCCATAACTATCCATTGAAATCCATCGAATATGTTGATTAACTATATTATATTATATGATAATTCATTACATCCCCATTATATCTCCATTGTATCCTTAAGGTGATTGGTACTCTCATCGTTGCTGGTTGATTCCCCATTGAATCATCATGAACATATATGGTTTGTCTACATTGGATTATCACCAGAAGTTGGATTGTCACCATTGTATCGCCATTATATCACCATTATATCACCGTTGCTTCCAAAATCCCAGGGTTTTCTCCGCCAGGAATGAAGCTGATGCGATCAGCATCCAAAAGATCTACAAGATGATCGAGGACAGGCCCCAGGTATCCAAAAAACCTTGGCATTTCCAATGCTTTCGGCATTTTTTTTCCATTGAAGTTTTGGAAAAACCTTGGGTAGTATCAGAGTTTCAAGACATAATTACCCATCTCTATATATATAGTATACAGTATGCCTTGAATGTTTTTCGCTGGGTGTCAGTGTTTTGGGCACAAGCTGCTAGCTAATGCCCAGGGCCCTTCCAACTTCCGCGGTGACAGGAGGAATTTCGGCGGCGTTGGTGTCTGCTATCCTCCGTGAACCCCTAGTCCACCCCCCTGTCATTTGTCAGGACCTTGAGGTGGAATCCATCCATTGGGGCAGCCTTTGTCTCGGCATTTTTTTGGGGTTGGTACTTGGTCAAGTGCTGGAATACCTTATTTTGTTAAGGCAGTATCTGAATATTCAGTTGAAACTCCGTGTTGGGGCTGTGCACAATTATTGGGCTGTTAAGTCCCGACTCGCATGAGCGAGGGTATTGCTGAGCTGGTGCGTGAAGTGCGAGCTCTACGTGAGGAGGTGCTGCAGCTCACGTTGCGGGTGATTGACCTAGAGGGTGGTGAGACTCAAGCACCGGTGAGACCCGGCAGAGCTGCAACTGGCTCTCCTATCACTGTTACTTGCAATTTCCCCCAGGGACCAGCTGTTTATTCCCCAGCCCCTTCTGGTAACTCAGCTGCTGCTGCTCCTTCAATTGTGTCATCTGCCAACAGCCCTGCTTACTCAGGTAAAGCTACGGCCGCGGATTACACTGAAGCGGAGAGGCGAGAGGTGGCCATTGAGATTGGCAAATTTTTTCGCCGGTGCTTGGCTGGTGAGGAGCGAGGCACGAGTGGGAGGGACCGCATTCGATTGCAGTCTCGTTGCTACGTTTTGTGTCGGGATATTTCAGGGCAGAGCTACAACCCTGTCCGTGTATTCAGCTCTTTTTCTGCTATCAAGCCCCTGGTTAAGCAGGGCGGCAATTGCGGAGATTCAGTTTTTGCAGGGTTCCCGACTTACTGGGAAGCTAGTGTGGCGGTGAACACTGCTGGCTTGCAGTGGCCACCACCTGATGCATTCGGATCTGCCTGAAGACGAGGAGCGGGACGAAGCGCTGCGTCCTCCAAATCCTGTGACAGCGCGGCAGTGCACAGTCCTCATTGAAGGTGAGGCGGGATTGGCCCCAGATCCAGCCTATCCTGTTGGTGTTTTTGAAGTTCCTTCTGAAGCTGGGGGTGAACCTACTACGGTAGCTTGCATCGCCATTTCTGAAGTTGAGGGAAGACTGCTAGTTGCGGTGCCGTTTTCCGTTTGGCACCGAGTATCCAGCAGACGAGTTTTGCCACAACGAGCCCTGGGAAAGCCAGTTGTTCTTGAGGCCCCTTTTTTGGACCGAGCCGACCCGGCTGGCGGTGCTCACTCAGCGAAGCTCTGGGTGGGAATTCTTGCAGCCGAGTGTGAAGCTCATCTTGTTTTTGATCCTACGACTGAGTTTGCAGATTTTGACTATCCATTTGACCCTGCCGGACCATTTGTTGTCCCAGTCGCTGATACTTTGATTGAGGTAGCTGAACAGCATTTTGCTTTTTGGACAGCTCCTAGTGCTCCGCCTGAAGAGGCAGCACCCAGTGCAATAGACCAGCGGTTGGCGGTTTTGGAGAAGAGTGTCGGCCAGATTGCCGAAAGTTTGAAGCATTTAGCTGCAGAGAAGCAGCGACCACCAGCGCTGCGAGCTGGGCCAGGGCCATCAGCTGCTCCCCCTGCGACAGCACCTCGCGTCTCATTCCAATGCCCTCCTGGATTGGGAACACATCGAGGCAGCATCGATGCAGAAGTGGTTCAAGCTGCCAGAGAAGCAGGCATTCCCCAAGCCCACATCGAGCAGATGATCAGTTTAGCGCAGAAAGGAAAGCCCAAGTTGCAAGATCTTCCGCTGCCGCGAAAAGCAGCTCCTGTGCAGTCTCGCGACCCCTTGTCCGAAAGCGAGGCAGACGAGCCCGAGATGCCCGAGCTCGACGCCGAAGGACCTCAAGCTGTGGCCAATGCAGTTCTGACTTCAGCAGTTACCAAGCTCACTCAGATAGCCGGGCATTTGGCGCAGCAAAAGAAAGCAGACAAAAGTTTGGATGCCGTGCTAGACGGTGTTGGGTCGGGAAGCAGCGAGACATCAGCGGTGGCGGGTTCCCGCCGCTATGCAGCAGCACTGCGAGCTTTGCGGCGAGCCCTACTTGCACAGCCTCAAGAGATCTACAAGATCATCGAGGGGAACATGGAGCAGGACTTCAATCTGCAGGCGCAGGTGCCTGGAAGCGCGGGAGTGCAAGTGACAGCACGCGCCTGGCTAGAGATGAGGTCGCGCGTGCAAAACTTTCAGACTCCAGTGCGGCTGTTGTGGGGAATTGCGGGTGCCTTGGACTGCCTGCGGGCCGAAAAGCCTGCCGAAGCCCGGGCTCGATTGGCCCTGTTGCTTTGCCAAGGGGATCAACTCAGCATAGATCGTGGCAACTGGATTTTAGCGGGCGAGATGGCCCTAGAGGAGCCGCCGCCGCTGGCGCAATTTGCGGCCCACTCCCTGCCGCAGGAGAACGAAGCCCCTTACACGCGCTTGGTGGATGGAAGGTGGGTCGATTTGTTCCTCCAGAAGCTCAACGATTACGACAGCCTGGCGGAGAAGAAGCGGAAGTTGACATCAAGGCGAACTCCGCCTGGCAACCCGCCGGTCGAGCAAAAGCCGACTGCCAAGGCCGAACCAAAGAAGAAAGGCAAGGGCAAGGGAAAGCAACAAAGCAGCGGCGATGGTGGTGCAGCCGAAATGGACGGAGCTGCAACCGCCGACCACAAATGAGTACTGCAGCTCAACATGTAGGCCCCGAGCCTTGCACTGGTCCTTTGCCGAGTTCTTCTTCACCAGCGCGGACCTTAAGTGGTACCGCGAACAACGGTCGGGGACCAGTTGCAAGGGGAAGGGCTGATGAACTCAAAAAGCTGCATAATGAATTGCCTGCTGCGTTGAAACAAAGCTTTCCTGCCGTTGTCGGTGCCGCTGATTCCGCCAATGCACGAAAGGTGCCTGGTGCCGAAGCTAGCACTGTCGAGGTCACCTCTTTTTGGAATTCATTACTCAGGTGGATGCTTGGAGGACCTTCCAGCCGCCTGCGAGCTTTTTTGCATGCTTCTCTGAAAACCCAGGCTGACAGGGAAGAACATGAACCCTGTACCTCTAGGCCAGTGTGGCCTATGCCTATGCCTTTCCACAAAGGGCAATTGCGGAGCGGTGACAAGGCCACCAATGCTCTGCGACGGGCGCTGAATGTCATGGTTTTGACAATGAATTGGCTGCAGCTGGGATCGCCTGCGCGCTGCCCCCAGGACTTCAGGGCTAATGCCCCTCTGACCGAAGAGCAGCAGGGCATTGTCTCTCGGTTGGTGCGCCTATGCACTGAGTGGGCCGCTTCGGGGCCCATCGCTGCCGCTGCTATGGGTAGAACAGCCGGGAAAGTGGAGAGCCTGGAGCACAATGTAGCTTTGCTGACCACCGTTGCTCTCCAGCTGATCGCCCAACAAGGGTCCAGTGTTTTTTCCAGTTCTGTGCCAAGACATCGTGCCGGTCCTGCCAGCAAAGCGAGCTCCTTAGTGAGCGAGGTCCAAACTGCTAAAGACATAGAAGCTCACCGTTTGCAGTTTAGCGGATGCCCAGCGTTTGATCCAGTGCCTTTGCTGGATGCTGATGCAGCGGCATGGTATGCAGAGCCCTTAGACTATGCCCTCGCCCCTGAGGAGATTCTGGAACCAGTTCCCCGTGTGCAAGTGCGAGGCCAACATGCTGAGGTACTCAAGCTGCTGCACTCCCTGGATGAAACTGGCAGACTAGCCCTTTTTACTCCTGCACAAGTGCGCATGCCCTTGAGGGCTGGACTGTTTTGCCTGATGAAGAATTTGGAAAAGGACCGCCTTATCATGGATGCCAGGCCAGCGAATCTGGCCGAAGAACCACTGAATGCATGGACTCAGAGCATGGGTTGTGCAACGCCTCTTTTGGATATGGTGCTTCCCCCTGACCGGGTTCTGCTTGCGGCAGGTGAGGATCTGCAAGACTACTACTATTTCTACAAGGTTAGCAGAAACCGTGCTGCTCGCAATGCTTTAGCCTTCTCCCTCACTGCAGCCGAAGCGCAGCGCTTCAAGAGTTTCAGATATGTGGAAGGGGAGGCAACTCACTACATCCCCGCCCTCAACACGATGGCGATGGGGGACCTCAATAGTGTGGAGTTCGGGCAGCAAGCACATATGAAGTTGGCGTTGCAGAGCGGCATCAAACTGGGGGACTGCATCACCTTGCGCGGGCGCATGCCCCGCCAGAACTGGGTGGTAGGCATCGTGATAGATGATTTCATCATCTTGGAACAAGTGCCTCGAGCGAAGCCTGCTTCTACTGTTTCCTCTCCACTGGCTGATCGCATGGTCCAGTTGTACAAGCAAGTGGGGCTAAAACCTCACGATGGCAAACGTTTCCGAGGGCAAGTCCATGCCAAGTTTTGGGGCATCAGTTTGGATGGAGACACTGGCATCATTAGGGCGCAGCTGGAACGAGCGGTACCAGTAGCGGTGCTTACTGCCCAACTGGCACGGTGTGGTTATGCTGACAGAAAGTTGCTTGAGGTGCTCACTGGTGCTTGGGTGTCGATCCTGCAGATGAGACGGAGGTGCATGTGTTTGCTGGAAGAAGTTTTTTCGGAAATCCAGCGTTTTGACTATGGAGTAGTTTTTCAGCTGTCGGCAAAGGCCGTAGATGAACTTTGGACCATGGTCGTTTTTGCACCTTTGTTCTGCAGCGATTTGAGGGCAGAAGTACTGCCGGAGCTTGCTTTAGTGGATGCTTCAGACAAGTGGGAGGCTGAGGTCGCCTCTCCTGTGACCCACAGCCTGGCGGGGGAACTCGCGAGGCAGCGGCTGACAAAAGCCTCCTGGTCGCGCCTCCTGAGCCCTTTGAAAGCGTTGCAGAAGGTGCATGGGATACTACAGCCAGAAGCTGAAGTACCTGCGGGCGAGCTTCCAGCTCGGTCGCACCCCTTGTGGAGAGCAGCAGCCAAGTCGAAACGTTTTTCTTTGATTGGCAGAAGGAAGATCAAACGGCGAACTCACATCAACCTTAGTGAGTTGTCAGCAGCGCTGGCTTCTGAAGCTCGTCGGTCCAGGAAGCATCCAAACTCCAGATTGCTTCTGGGCTCTGACAGTCAAGTGGTTTTGGGAGCGTTGGTGCGGGGAAGAGCTTCTTCGGCAAGCTTGAATCAAAAGCTGAGGCGTCACTTGCCATGGTTGCTAGCGTATAACACCTACCCTGCAGTAAACTATGTGAACACTGCTGACAATGTAGCAGATGACCCTACGAGGGACCGGACATGTCGAGATCCTCAGCCCGCGCAGAGGTGGTTCACCGCCGCTGAAGCTGGCGATTTTGAGGAGCTGGACAAAGTTTTGGCTGAGGCGCAAGTCGATGACAAGGTGATTGCTAGGCTGCCTGCCGAGCGTGAGCTGAATGTTAGCCCCTTGGATCCTCTTTCTCGACGTGCAGCACTTCGGCGAGACTATGCAAAAAGGAGGACTGCTAGGACGGGGGGGGGGGATAAGGCAGACACCACTCCTGTCACCGGACGCGTAGAGCCATGGTTGCAAGCCGCACCTTTGAGCGCCGATTGCGTTGCATTGCTGCGGAAGTTGCCGGCGTCGCAGTTTGTGCTTCCACCAGGCCAAAAACTGGAAGAGCTCGTGTTGCGGCAAGGGCACTTAGACCTCTTTTCTGGCCAACGTGGTGCGGCAAAGGCTTTAGCAGAAACAACAGGCCATTGGGTTCTGACCTTCGATGTGGCACACCATGCTAGTGAAAATTTGTTGGACCCGAGTGTGCAGGACTTTCTGGCCAGCCTTGTTGAGGCAGCAGCCTTTTTGTCGGTGGGCGCCGGACCGGTTTGTGCGTCTTTTTCACGAGCAGTCCGACCACCAGTGCGAACGAAAGAATGCCCGACAGGCCTTGCTGACCTGACAGACAACATGCGCGAGAAAGTCCAAGTCGGCAATGCTATGTCGCAATGGTTGGCTGCTTTCATCGCCCTCGTGCATGCGCACGGGATCTGCTGGTGGGTAGAGAATCCTGCGGGAAGCTATCTCTGGTGGCAGCCTGAATGGGTTAGGCTTATCACCACACTTGGGTTACGGTTTTTTACAACTGACTACTGCAGATGGGGCACTCCTTGGCGGAAGAGAACGAGGTTTTTGACGAATACCAGCGTAGCTGGGGAGACCCTACTGTGCCAATGTGAAAGGCCGCACATTCAGCTTGTTGGATACAGCAAGAGTCGGGGCTGCTGTTTGAAAGCAGCAGAAGCTTACCCCACTGGTTTATGTCGGTTTTTAGCCAAAGTTGTGGCTGAAGAGCTGAAGCCAACTGACCGTAGACAGAAGTTCGACGTAGCTAGCTGTGCAAAGTGTTGTGGCCGCCGAATAGGCGAGGCTTCGCACCCAGGGCCGCGAGTCCGAAGAGTGCTACCAGCAGTTGAGCTAGATGAGGTGGACACAGTGACGCCTGCTACACGACTGCTGCAAGCCCGAGCCTTAGAACGCTATGCGAGATGGCTGTCAGAGAATTTGCCTGCAGATGTACTCCAACACCTTTGGGATAGCCCTTTGTTTCAGGTTTCTTTTTTGCAAAGTTTTGGCCACTGGAGTTTTCAGCGCGGAGAGCCCATGTACTTATTTCGCCACCTGGTGGTGCACTACCAGAAGTCATCGCCTGCAGTGCGAGCGCAACTGGCACCAGCTTGGGATTTGCTTCAACGCTGGGAAATAGTACAACCTGTGCAGCACAGACCGCCCATGCCTCGGCAGTTACTAGATGCCTTTTTGAGTCTGGGATTACTTTGGGGATGGCACCGGTGGGTCGGCGTGACTGCTTTGGCTTTTCATGGTGCCACAAGGATTGGAGAGCCTATTAAAGCACGAAGAGCTGATCTGCTTTTACCGGCCGACCTATGCGTGGATGACGATGTTTGTTTTCTGCGAGTGGGAGCTCCAAAGCCGGGACGTAGGGGTCGCGGCCGAGTTCAACATGCCCGCGTTTCCCATGCTTCCACGGTGAGGCTGCTGGTTTCCGTTTTTGGGAACTTAGAGCCGGAGGCTTTTCTTTTCTCTGCCTCACCAGCTGCATACCGGCGGAGATGGGACAAAATAGCAGAAGCTTTACAAGTACCACATAGTAGCCAGATCACCCCAGGTGGTCTTAGAGGCGGCGGAGCTGTTCATTTGTATCACACTGGAACTCCCATTTGGGATATACTTTGGCGGCTTCGCTTAAAACAACTAAGTACTTTAGAGAGCTACCTGCAAGAAACAGCTGCCAGTGGAGTGTTAGCCTCTCTCCCTGCTGAATGCCGTGAGAAAGTGAAATCAGCTTCTTCCTTTCTGCCTTTTCTTTTAGATGCCTTGGACAAGCGCCCCCCAGATTCCTGAAGTGGCACGAATGGCTGCGCTAGCAGCTATCAACTCGCTGCTGAGGGCGCCGGTAGTTGTGGGACTGGAGTGCACTGCAACTTGGAGGAGGATGGACGCATCTGGTTTACTTTTAGTTTTTCAGCTGCTTAAGGACCCATTTTCCAATTTTGCAGTGCCTGCAGATGGCGCGCCACAGACGCCTACCGTTGCCTGGGACAGAGAAAAGGGGAGCAGACCACACTGCGACAAACATGCCTTGAATGTTTTTCGCTGGGTGTCAGTGTTTTGGGCACCCGCCCACATGCCGCCCTGGTGGAGTGCACTGCAACTTGGAGGAGGATGGACGCATCTGGTTTACTTTTAGTTTTTCAGCTGCTTAAGGACCCATTTTCCAATTTTGCAGTGCCTGCAGATGGCGCGCCACAGACGCCTACCGTTGCCTGGGACAGAGAAAAGGGGAGCAGACCACACTGCGACAAACATAAACATATATCTATATAATATTTTATATTGGTTTATCATCATCCCTATATTATGAACAAGTGATAACAAGTGCACCAATATATATTTAACGCATGTTTCTCATCATTTTTCATCATTCTGGGTATCCTTTGCAGACGCCTTTTGAAGCTGGATCCCTTCGATCGCTATGTAACAGGCATTGAACCTCCCTGCGGCATACATTTTTTTCTACGAGTTGGCGGCTCAGGCGACAGAGACTGGGTTCTGAAAAATGATGAACATGTTGGGAACGCCCGAAAAAAAAACAAAAAAACATCAAAAACCTTAGATCCACTGGTTCGGAGCCTCATTTTCATCATTTTCCCTATCAAAATGGCCATATCCATGATGTGTCTACCCATGTCTAGATCTAGACTAATGGTTCCATGTCTCTCTAAAGGTTGGAAGCTTCTGAGATCGCAGGTGTCACCTTTTTTCATCGCTGAGGAGATGTGTGGATGCAGGGTTCGAAGCATCAAGCGAAGCATCGAAAAAAATCGCTGCCGCTCCAAAACTCGGACCGATTTTAACATATTTTAACCATCCAGAATGGTGCAATAATGATGGTTATCCATGGTTATCTGTTAATCATGGGGTATTTTTAGTATTAACCATCCATAACCAGCCAATGATTGGGATATTAACCATCCATATGAGATTACAACCATCCAATGATTGGGGATGATTGGGGTACCCAATTTTGACCACCCACATGATGTCCCACATGGCTGGGGCATGTTGAGACAGAGACCATAGCAACCACATGCCGACATCGGGAGTCAAAAACTTGAGCCGTTTGCACCGAGTCAACTTCAATGCGACTTTAATTCAGCAGTGCACCCAACTGCCACTCGAAACAATCCATTGAAACATCATCACCTAACTAGCCCAACAACACTAAAAACCACTGAACATCAGCACCTGACAATACCTAATATCAACTCTACTTACGCTCTCGCAATCAAACATAGCAATGACAATTCCAGCATTTAGTTCGATGATTTTCCAGCAAAAACCTTCATTAGCAGATGATTTTCCCATTAAACACCTCCATTTAGTTCAAGGATTTTCCCATTCAAAACCTTCATTTTTTGCGATTTCTGGATGATTTTCCATAAATCTTCCATGGACCGGCCATGGTTTTGTTCCTTGATTTCCCGGTCGACCCCAGGGTCGCCATGCCATGCCCATCCAGCAGCGTTGCGAAGTGCCCCCGCTGCCGGTGAACTATGCCTGGCGCGCGGGGCTCACGGAATCGGTCGCCAAGAGTCTGCAGAAATGCCTCAAGGTGCTACTCGTACCACCACCCATGGATCCCATGGATTTTATGGCGATATGGGCGAACATGGTCAAAGTCCCCATGTTTTATGGGAAAATGTGGGAGTTTTATCGGATGGGATACACAAACTTGGATAGTTAGGACCGAAATCCGTGAAAGGTGGTTTTCAACGGGCCATCCATCGCCCACTGCAAGGCCTCTGGCCTTTGCGTGGTTCATGGAGCGGGTGGCATGGGCAAAACTGTGGCCACTTGTGCCACTATCCATCACGAAGAATCCTTGTCACCTGGCAGACCCATAACCTGCAGATCAATGGCATGTTGAAGATGATATTTAAAATTTTAAACACATGATCGGTTCACGCAGGCTTACCTTTGAGTGGCCAACTTGTGATTTGTTCCTAGAGATCCCGGCAACCATGGCCATGATCACTCCCATCACTTGGATGGTTTCCATAAATGAAGATACCGCAAACTGGATGGTTTCTAATGGCAACTCCTATTAAAATAGATGATTTAGGGGTACACCCATTTTAGGAAACCTCGAATTACTGGTAGTAATAATTAGCAATAATGGTATGCAATAATATATAATTTATATATGTGTTGGTCCCATGGTATCCCATGTTGCCTCATTGTACCTTGACCACAAGGTCAGAGATGTTTCCTGACGGAGTGGCATACGTCACCGTGGGCCAAGCACCAGATCTTGCGACTTGGAACGGGATACATTCCACGAGGATCGCTAAGAAGAACATGTCCTTGATCGGTTGGCATACTCTGGCATTCTCTCCCTCTCTCTCTCTCTGTATATTATATATATATTATTATATATTACTATATATATAGAGCTTTCGTTTGATATCATTTGATATCATTTCTAGATACGTGATATGATGATATGACGCACGATCACGATCC